TAACATACTTTGGTTAAAATTTCTCAATCGTAGGGTAAAACAACACCCTTTTTACCTTGTCAAAAACAGCTCTTTTCAGAGCAAGCCGTTTTGTTGCATGCCGCTTTAAATGCTAATGAGCTCTGCTGACCCCGCCCCTCTCTTCCGAGCCACTCTCTGAGAGACGGTAAACTTTAGCCGCATTCATCGTGAAACTTGCTAACTAGCACATTATTAGGAAAGGAGATTTGCAAAGATTCATAAAAAAACTTATACTCGCTTCTTCTGGAGGTGAAGCTGGATCATGAATGATTCGCGTGAACATAGATGCATTTAGGTAGATCGGGGGCCGCATTCCCTTAAGAAACAAACTTAATCCACTGTGTCTTCAGCGACTCAGATGTCGGGAGTAAATGACGACTGCTATGTTCATTATTACATCCAACAACAGAACACCTCAATCGCGAGTCATTAGGAGTCATTCTTGTCTACATCTGTAAATTCCTCTTACTTCTTGTGTATTTGTATAGACATTTTAAAGGAACCTTCTGGAACTGTTTGGAGAACTTGTAAATTCATATCAGTGACAGCCAAATTACAGTATGTGAAGATCTTGGTCCGTTATTGTTTTGGCTGGCGATGTAAGGTGTAGGTTTTCTTGGCTCACGTTAAACAGGTAGGCAGTTATCCCATTCATCTGGAGAGAGCATTGAGAAAATGCTGTGAAATTGTCTAATGACTCAGGAATTTGCTTTGACTGCGAAAACAAAATTATTTAAGGTGGTTATCATTTGCAACACATGGCAAGGCTTTTTGTATGTTGAACTTATCAAGTTAAGATTAATCAACAGCTTTGACACACATATTACAGATATTGTGTATCTTTGTCATTTGAACGTGATGACATTGTTAGTCATGTCATAGCATTCCCGTTTTTATGATATAAGAGTTTATGATACTGAATTATTATTGGGCCTAACTTACTGCATATATTTTGGCAGGTTCATATTATTTATTTTTTAATTCAGCTAAAAAATCCTCCATGTTTTAAAAAAAAATATGTTTGATCGATATAATTAACTTATTTAAATGGAATTGGTCTTGTTTTTATGTGGTAAGTATCTATCTTTAATAGGGATGCACAATATTATTGTGATATCGGAAACGGCCGATAATGGCTTAAAATGTAAACATTCGGCATGGGTCCGATATGTACAATTATGCCGATAAGTCTTTCCGATAAGACGAATAACTCGCATGTGCTCAGGGTGTGCTAGCAATAACATCAAGTCAGCATTTTGGTCATTCTTGAAGCTAATTTTTGCCTGAATGGTGATTAGATTCACTGTTTTGATCGCTGCTTTTAAACTGAGAATGCATGAACACAATGACGTATCCGCTGCGCAATAGATTCAACAGTCACTAGCGCCTAGGGGGCGCTGTTGGCCTACTTGTAATAAAATGATAGTAAAATACACAAATAACATTAAGATTGTATTTCTGATTAAATAAAGCAGTAACGGATGTCGTAAAATCACGAGTATGTTTTGATTTAAAGGTCAGAAGATATAGCTTGCATGAATAAAAATCACAAACATGACACTTGCTAATTAAATAATTTTATACAGATTTGTTTATTAATGTATTAATGTTAATGTTTTTTCTTTTTTTCAAACAGATTATGAGCTCTGAAAGATTTTCAGAATGTTTACAACTCTTTTTCTTTAGACCATCTACAAATGTTAAATCTTTAAATAAAATGTTAAGGTTACCACCACTGCGTCTCTCTGAAAAAAAAAGTGATTGATTTATAGTATTTTCAAAGCTTTCAATGCACTCTCATTATAAAAGAAATTCATTATTGTTTTTTAAAATTCTAACAAATAAGTTTTTGTTAAAAACGCGCAATAGATTCAACAGTCACTAGCGCCTAGGGGGCGCTGTTGGCCTACTTGTAATAAAATGATAGTAAAATACACAAATAACATTAAGATTGTATTTCTGATTAAATAAAGCAGTAACGGATGTCGTAAAATCACGAGTATGTTTTGATTTAAAGGTCAGAAGATATAGCTTGCATGAATAAAAATCACAAACATGACACTTGCTAATTAAATAATTTTATACAGATTTGTTTATTAATGTATTAATGTTAATGTTTTTTCTTTTTTTCAAACAGATTATGAGCTCTGAAAGATTTTCAGAATGTTTACAACTCTTTTTCTTTAGACCATCTACAAATGTTAAATCTTTAAATAAAATGTTAAGGTTACCACCACTGCGTCTCTCTGAAAAAAGAGTGATTGATTTATAGTATTTTCAAAGCTTTCAATGCACTCTCATTATAAAAGAAATTCATTATTGTTTTTTAAAATTCTAACAAATAAGTTTTTGTTAAAAACTAATCAAAATTTAAAATTATTTGTTTAGAATCTCTGCACAGGAGAGACTTGGTGTTGTTTCCAAAAAAAGGAAATATATTGGTATCGGCATCGGCATCGGTATCGGCAAAAATGAGTTGAAAAATATCGGGATATCGGCAAAAAACCAATATCGTGCATCCCTAATCTTTAATCATTACACAATCTGTAAATGTGTTCAAATAGAGGAACAAAAACTGAAACATCAGCACAGTCTAGAAATAAATGCAGACTCAGCCAGTGACACTGAATAACTCAAGTTCCATAGAAATAAGAGTGATTTGAGTATTATTTTTCTAGTCAAACTATAGCACATGTCCTAGCCAGGCTATGAACAAGTCTGTCTCTTCCATGCAAATGTCAGTTTTTGTCTTAACCAGCTGCAACAATGACAGACTGCAGGGCATTTTTTTTCAGTTTTGTGTTCTTCTTCTTCTTTTCCTTAAGTTGTTATTTCTGCAGCACTGAAGCCCCGCCTACAGCGTAGACTCACTGGTCCACAGTTGTGTTCCACATAACTGTAAATTAAACCTCAGATTTGGTTGTGATTGTGTCGCAGGCAGAATTTTCCCTTCTAGTGTGCATAAAACACATTTCTGGTCACTGGAAGTTTGTTTTGTTGTGTCTGGTTAAGACACAGTGTAAATGATCACGTTTCACTAAACTGTTTGTGAAGTTTAATCGTTATGTCAACTATATTTCACCTAAATTATCATCTCTGGGCAAATGTTTCTAATCTAACCAGTCAGCCTGCCAGACTGATTCAAAAACAGCAGTTGATTTTTAGTTTGTGTAAACTACTGTATTTGTCGTTGAAAAGTTTGGCATCTGAAAGAATTTTGATGTTTTTTGTATAAGTTTATTCTGCGCATCAAGGCTGCATTTATTTGATCAAAAATACAGTGAAAACACTAATATTGTGAAATATTATGACAATTTAAAATTATAGTTTTCTAAGCAGTTGTGCTGCTTAATATTTTTTTTTGGAACCTGTGCTACTTTTTTCCAGGATTCTTTGATGAATAAAAAGTTAAAAGAACAGCTATTTAAAAAAAAATAGAAATCGTTTGTACTAGTGCTGTCAATCAATTCAAATTTTTTAACGAATTAATCACACATTTGTTTTCTGAAATTAATCACGGTTAATCGTTATTAAACTCACCTAACATTAAAGTTTTAAAATATGCTTTTATGTTGCAATAATTTCACATGCAATCTTCAAATTACTACAAACAACATAAAAAGAGTATATTTTTAAATATTTGTTTAGTGGCATCTTTTTTATGACTGAAGGCGGTTATCACTGATACCAATAACACTGATGTCTCTATGAAATTGACCATTGATTATAGCCATTCAACATTACGGTATAAATGAGATCTATCAATTTTATCATTTATTAGGCTTTAAAAAATAACAATTTCTAATTTAAGTGAACTTAAAACAATCTTCACATAAACCCATTATAATAAATGTAATATTTCCCTGTGCCCTTTAGCAAGTAGGTTTAAATAAAGTTATCAAACACTAAATTCTAAATTAAATATAGACGAATCCTTAAAGCTACAGATGTTACTGATTTCCTCTTTTTCTTTTGTTCTTGATGAACAGTCATCACAGCAGCTGGTTATTAGGTTGTTTCGGCTGCTATTACTTTAAGAGCTGCCGCTGCTGAACGTGACGCGGATCTGATACGCATCGTGTTTTCCCACAACCTTTTATATATAATTGCGCTTGAATATAAAATGATATACAGCGCGCCGGCGCATTTGTGCATGCAATTGAAGAGCATGTGTTACAAGCACAGTATAACGGCAGACAGGAGAGGGAAATTAGTTTTTATTGAAAAACAAAAATGGGAAAGGGAAAGTCTCCCATCTGATGTGCCTGTAAAGATGTTCTGCGTCTAAATAAACACAATTTTGTCAAGAAAAAAGAAACTGAAGCAGCAGTTGTGAGTGGCGCAGCCAACCTTAGCCCCGCCCCTGCGTTAAATATTTTTAACGCCGTTAAACTGGAAACTTAATTGATAATTTCGACAGCACTAGTTTGTACCAATACATTACCATTCAAAAGCTTGGGGTCAATGTTTTTTTTTCTTCTTTTTTTTTTGAAAGAAATTAATCATTTTATTCAGTAAGGATGTGTTAAATTGATCAAATGTGATATAAAAGACAACTGTTTCCAACACTGATCAGCATATCATACTGATTTCTGAAGATCATGTGACACTGAAGACTGGAGTAATGATGCTGAAAATACAGCTGCGCATCACAGAAATACATTACAGTTTAACACATTCACATAGAAAACAGCTGTTTTAAAGTGTAATAATATTTCACAATATTACTGATTTTACTGTATTTGTGATTATATAAATGCAGCCTTGAAGAGAATTCTTAAAAAAAAAAAAAAACATGGTTCATTCCTCTAATTCTCAAAGATCAGTCTGACATTGTTCGCATACACTGCACCACCTTTTCCTGTTTACATCAAATTACTCTTTTCTTCCAACTCCACTGAGTTCTTGTGTGTCTGAATGAGCCAGAAATCTCTGCCCTGAACAAAACCCTCTCACAATTTACCTCATTTCCCTCACAGATAATGATCGAGTTTTGCCCCGGAGGTGCTGTCGATGCCACCATGTTAGGTAAGACCTGAATCTCTTATTGCTTTCCTTCATGTTATCGTTTTTATAAAAGCCCCCTGCAACTTCCTTTTGATGATCTTGGTTATTAGCTCATCGGTGAGTAGGCAGACTCATTTCCCCTGAAGTTTAAACAGGATATTGCATTATTTTGGGTGTTTTTTTGAACGAGCCAGTCAAGGTCACTTAAAGTTCATTGCCCTCTCAAACTCAAGTTTATTGAATATGTATGTTTGTGTGTTTGACACTGACAGAATTTTCATTTTTAATTGTAAAATACCTTTTAATAATTTTAAAAATAGGGTTCAAATTGTCTTTATAATATAATATAATATAAGAGCTTTTTTCTTTTGAAGTGTTTGATGCACTAGTCTGAAGATTTTATCGTTTGTGTCTTTCAGAGCTGGACAGGGGTCTTGAAGAGCCTCAGATCCGGGTGGTCTGTAAGCAAATGCTGGAGGCTCTTCAGTATCTCCACAGCATGAAGATCATCCACAGAGACCTGAAGGCTGGAAACATCCTCCTCACGCTGGACGGAGACATCAAGCTAGGTTCGTATGTAAACGAAGCAGTCCGACCGGTCGTCTGATTTCAATTGGGTGCGGTTTAAAACTGACAACCACGCTATTAGAACCTAGTGAACAGGCTTGATGCCTTCTAAGGGATCATCCTAACTGAATTGGAACAAACATGATTGATTTGGAACGCTCTACATAAGCAGCAACTCTGTACTAAGATTATTTTATTTTTAATAAAATAATTATAAAAAAATTTTCAGTGTCACATGATCTTCAGAAATCAGTATAATATGCTGATCTGCTGCTAAAAAAAACATTTCTGATTATTATCAGTGTTGATTAGCAGTTTTGCTGCTTCATATTTTTGTGGAAGCCATAATACATTACCAATTAGTAGTAGTCAGTACCATTCATATACTACTTTCATTCAGCAAGGACATATTAAAGTGATCAGGTGTGCGGCTGTGATGCCTTAAAATGCTGTCTAGTTAGGATTTGTTACAGAGCAAAAGATCTCTTACTAATTCTTTTGACCTCTCTCTCTCTCTCTCTCTCTCTCTCTCTCTCTACACACACACACACACACACACATATACTGTATATATATATATATGAAGAGTTTATTTGCAAAAACAGATAA